TTGTGTTGTCGATGGCGACCCGTTTCCCTTGCTTCAGGGCTGTCTCACACGCGGTCACACAGCGCTGCCAGGAGCCTAGCGTGTCCTGGGGACGCAAGAGGTCACAAACGGATCCGGAGACCCGAGGGGAGAGAAGACCCAGAGCGGGGTCGGGGAGGCAGTGATGGAGGGAAGCCGCCCCAAACTAGTTGAGCGGTGGAGATGAGATGGGAACTGAATAGATTCGGCGCGGCCAAAGCCTAGTCATACCCTGTTCACATGGACGTATCCGGCCGACACGAGGTGCTTCTTGAGAAAGGTGGACTTCCCGGCTGTGTGGGGGGCAGTGTCGGTGGGTGGCCTAGGACCCCGGAGGGGCTCAGGGCACAGGGGCAGGGCACTCACCCCCAGGGAATCCCACGGCGACAACCACCTCCGGGCTAGAGCTCAGGAGGGCCCTGGACTCGGGGAGGCAGAGAGGTCCTGAGCGGGAGAGAGTCCTCTGCGAAGGGAGGGGCACACGCGTGAGACGCTGTCCCCGTCTCCGGGAGCCCTCCCGCTCCCACCCCCACCCCAGGGCCTCACCGGGTCAAAGGCTGGGAGCTCAAAGCCGGCTGCTGGCCACTTCAGGAAGAACTCCTCAGGCGTGGCGAAGGGCAGGCCAAGGTTGAGGGCAAACTAGGGGTTGAGAACGGACATCAGACACAGGCCCGGCTCGGGCTCGGGCTCGGGCTCGGGGCAGCGGGCAGGGGTCTCACCAGGCGATCTGCGCAGGAGAAGTCTTTCTTCTTCCGGCCTGGGGCCCAGTTGGCCGGGCGTCCGGCTGCGTCTGGAACACACGGGACACACTGTCCCCACCAGCTCGGAGGGAGGGGTCCCAGCCCACCCTCAGCAGCCTCCAGGCCCTTACCTCCCACAAAGATGCTGTCCCGGATGGAGATGGGCGCGCCCTCGTTGGCCTGCGGGAGATGGCAGTGAGGAGGCCCTTCCCATAACTGTCCCGCCGCAGCAGTAGCGGGTCCCTGGGGCCGCCTCGCCTGGTCTATGCCGCGCATCAGGCCTCATCCTCCAACTTTTCATGTCCCCACCATCCAGCCACTTTGCACCGTGCTCCTGGGCCCTGTGGTCTCTCCACGCAGCCCCCTCCCTCCAGGCCTCCCGGCTTCCGCCTCCGCCGGTTCCCCACGCGGCCACCAGAGGGCGCCCGCTCTGCCTCAGCTCCAGCCTCCTGGGGGCCGGCGCCTCCCAGGCTCCCCCTCCCTCAGGGCAAAAGCGGGGCCCTCCCTGTGGCCCTGCCCTCTCCCCTCCCTCGCTTAGGGCCAGCCGCATGGGCCTCCCTGTCCCTAACTAGCCCAGACTAGGGGCTGCCTCAGGGCCTTTGCACTTGCTGTCACTCCTGTGGGGGGGGGACCACTTTCCCCAGGTGTCCACGTGGCTCCCTCCTTCCTCTGTCTTAGGCCTTTTCCTGGGATGTCACCTCCTCAGAGGCCATCCGTGCCCACCACAGCTGAAACGATGCCTGCTTTCTCCACCTCCCTCCCTCCCACTGTTTTACACGCCAGTCTGTCCATCCGCCCAGAGTCTTGGCCCTCGCCGTGCGGGCCCCGCTGGAGCAGGCTGTCCCGCTCACCACTATCTTCAGCTCAAGAACGTGCTAAACTGCAGAACAAATGCACACACAAACGAATGAAGGAAGGAATGAACAGCTTCTCTCTCTACTACTCTGATTTAGAAAGTTTAAGAGCATTGGTCTCGTAAACCAACATCTAAGATGTGACAGCAAAAAAACAGAAGGCAGGTCCGAGGGAAGACAGGAGGAGTAAGGAGGCCCGGACCTGGCCGGAGAGCAGGGAGCCCAGGAGGGAGGGGCTGGAGCGAGGAAAAGGAGGGAAGCCGGGCAGACTGCGAGACTCACCTGCTCCTGCAGATGGTCCCACATGCCTGTCACTGGCTTCCGGTACAAGCCTGCGTGCGTGGCCACCAACACCTGTGGATGGGAGGGGGCCACCAGCCTAAGCTCCTCCTCAAGCACCTACTGGATGCTACCCCAGTCCTCACCCAGCCAAGCAGAGCTACAGAATTTGTAGCTGATGGGTTCTTATCAGCATCACACCGCCTGAGGCCTCTGCCCCACTTATCCTGGAGTCTGAAGCCCTCTCTCTAGATTTCTGTGCCCCCACATAGCTCCCAGCCTCCCTTCCAGCCATACCTGGAAGGGGACCCCCAGCTTCTCCACCACAGCCTCCACCTTGGCCTTGAACTCTTCGGCTGGCAGCTTCCCGCGCCCGATGCTCATCTGGTTGGTGAAGATCACCAGCTGGGGAGCAGAGAGTGTCACGAGGCGCCTGCTCACCAGGACCTTGGTCTGACCTGAGGTTGGACCGCCACCTGCACGCACCCATGCAGACAGGCGGCTGCACATACCTTGTAGCCCTCGGCTTCCAGCTCCCGGAGCTTACACGGAATCTCTGGGTACAAGATCCTAGGGCAGGCAGGAAGCGGGAGGGGTGACCCCGGGCCAGAGGTGGACTCCAGGCCTCACTCACTCCCTTGTTTTGCCTCTTATCACCTCCAGTCACTGGGGCCAGTGGGAAAGACCTTCCCAGAGCGTGTGGTGATGAGGGTCCCGTCCAGATCAAAGCCAGCCACCTGGTGTCACCAAGGAAAGAGGAACAGCAGCACTGTGATACCTCTGACCCTCTCCACTCACAGGCTGACTCACACCAACCCTGCCATCTCACAGATGGGGAAACCAAGTCACAGAACACCTCCATGTCAAGCATCCGTGAAGCCTCTGAGTGCGGCCCGACATCTTAACCTTACTGTCTCCTGTTACTCCTTATGACCCCGGCCCCAGGATTACAGTCTTTAAAATGGGGGTTAATGTCTTACCCAGCCTCCTTCCTCCCCTGGCCTTCTGCACCTTGGTGGGCTGCTAATCGTGAAAATAAAAACAGGAGCAAAGCTTTGGGTGCTAACTGCATGTCAGGGACTATGCCACGTGCTTTTTATGGATTCAGCATTGTAGAGACGAGAGACATGGGACTCAGAATGTGGTGGTAACAGCATTTGAACTCAAGTCTCTCTGGACCTAAAAAATACTCATCATAATAGCTCCTACTGAGACGGTCATGGTCATTGCTGATGACTGGGTGGTCACCGTGGGACATGCAGGAGCTGACATACATCATTTTCCCCACTGCTTACAACGAACCCTGCGTTTATCATTAGGCCCATTTCTCAGAAAAGTAGATAGAGGCTAAAAAGAAGTTGAGAGAGCACACAACAAACCTGGGATTGGGTCCCAGTCTGTGGCGGCTCCCTCAGCCCTCGGCGTAGTCCTCACCTTGCCCTGGGGTTTCACCCCAGCTGCGGTGAACACTAGCAGCTTCTCCAAGTTCTCCCAGCCGGGGTTTGACTTCCGCATACGCTTCTTGGGAGGCTCAGCATCTCTCTTCTCGTCTTGGGACACCGGAGGGGTGCCAGGTGGAGTATCTGGCTGGGATTCTGGTGTGCGGATCTCTTCCCAGCGCAGGGTCAGTGGGTGGAGGCCATTGACCAAATACAGTGTGTCCCCCACCCCCAGAGAGCCCTCCAACCCCGGCTTCAACTCCTGGGTCCCGGCAGTTGAGGGGTTAACTCCCAGCTGCAGAAAGAGGGAGGAGCTGAGACTGGCTCCGCCCCGACCGGGAGCCTCCTCCAATCAACTACCGAGCGGAAAGATCTGCCTTTCACCACTAATCAGATCCTTAGGCCTCACCGATTCACTTTCGAACGGGCTTTGGAACGGTTAAGCGTTTTCAGCCTTATCCAATTTCTTCCTTCCTTCCTTCCTTCCGTCCTTCCTTTTCTTCCTTTCCCTTTCCTTCCTTCCTTCCTCCCTCCCTCCCTCCCTTTCTTTAGACAGAATCTTGTTTTGTCGCCCAGGCTGGAGTGCAGTGGTGCAATCTCGGCTCACTGCAACCTCTGCCTCCCGGGTTCAAACGATTCTCCTGCCTCAGCCACCCGAGTAGCTGGGATTACAGGCACCCGCCACCATGCCCGGCTAATTTTTGTATTTTTAGTAGAGATGGGTTTTCGCCATGTTGGCCAGGCTGGTCACAAACTCCTGATCTCAGGTGATTCGCCCGCCTAAGCCTTCCAAAGTGCTGGGATTACAGGCGTGAGCCACCGCGCCTGGCCTCCTTGTCCAATTTCTAAGGGCTTGGACAGGTATCCACCCCACTGAAACAGGCAACACTTCTTTCTTTACTGGACACACCCCCTTCTCTCCTAGCCATATTTTTTCTTTTCTTTTTTGAGGCAGGTTCTCGCTGTCACCCAGGCTGAAGTACAGTGTGGTGATCACTGCTCACTGCACCCTAGACCTACTGGGCTCAAGGGATCCTCTCGATTAGCTGGAACTACAAGGACGCGCCACCATCCCCGCTAATTTTTTATAGAGACAGGTTTCACCATGTCGCTCAGGCTGGTCTCGAACTCCTGGGTTCAAGCGATCTGCCCGCCTCGGCCTCCCAAAGTGCTGGGATTACAGGCTTGAGCCACAACGCCTGGCCCCAATCAGATTTTCCTAATGTACCACTTCACTGATGGCTTGCAATTCCTCCCCAAATCCCATCCCCGGGCCTTGCTGCCCCTTGCAGAGGCACTGATACCTGTTTCACTGCCACTGTCCGGGTCTCAGGATCTGCGACCAGTTCCACTGAGGATAGGAGGGATGGAGTCAGGATTTGCATCCTTGTGTGATTGGTTCCCTCATTTCTGGGGAGTGTGGCCTGCTTCAGGCTATAGCATCCATTCCGGAGGGAGTCAGAGGCAGTTTATTTCTACACGGGATTGGCTCCTTGACATGTAGTAGCCAGATGGTGGCACTAGGATTGCCTGACACTGGTCCTTCCTTGTAAGGACCAATTCTCTATAGAATTGGTTTCCTCCTTTACAAAAAATGTGGCTAGATACAGGTCCGGGACTTGGCCTGTTACCATCCATCCCAACCTAGTGACATTTATTTTTCTCCATAGGATAATTTTTCTCTTGACAAGGGTCGTTGCCTGTTTCTGGATTTCCAGATGGCCTGAGTATCATCCGCGCAGTGAACATCCTCCCGAAATTGGCTCGATCCCCTCTCCCCCAAAGGATCTAGCTAATTCTAAATCAAGCACAAACTTTCTCTTCCTGTGCGCCCTACAGAGCACCTTCTGACTTCGGGGCTGCCGGCACCACGCAATCCCGCGTAGCAGCCAAGCGTCCCTCTGGATTGTTCTCACTTTTGCAACAGGCCACACCCCCTCCAGCTCAGGCCCCGCCCACCTTGAGTCCTGGAGCACTTCCGGTCCGTGACCTGGGTCAGGGGTCCCCTGCCCAGGACCAGGGCTTGCCCGTCCGAGGGCAGGAAGATGGGAGGCGCTCCCCCAGGGGGGCTCTCGAGCCACAAGCGGCCCGGGGCCTCCACCTCGCCCATCCTGGGTGCCAGCCTGGGGAGCAGGTAAACGGGCTTGAGTGGCGCACAGCTCCAGTTTGCTACAGGAAGTCCCACTTCTTCCCACCTCCACTAGAACTTTCCCCATCATTAACTGCTCCGGAAGTCCCGCCCCCTCGCCTGCCGCGGGTCGCGCCGTTTCCCAAGCGACAACGCGTGCTCCATCCCCGCGAGTTGGAATCCCCACTTCCCAAGGCACAGGCAGATAGCCTCGCACATGCCCCCGCCCTGCCCTGTACTCACCCGGGACCGCTGCTCTGGCTCACGGCCACTTCCGACCAGGAAGGTCCTGCCCGAGGCGCCCCGCTTGCAACACGGCCGGCGGCGCTCAGTTCCTCGGCGGACGGAAATGACTCGTGCCCTCGAGGGGGGTGGGGCCTGGGTTCCTCCCACAGCAGCCACGCCCCTTGCCCGACCCACTTTCCCTAGGGTCCCTCCACAGCCCTGACCTTCACGTCTTGCTGCAACGCGAGGCTCAGACCGGTAGCGGGGACTGGATCCTTCGTTAGCAGATTTGCCTCTTTCTAACTTGACTTCTAATTTTCATCCCAGGGAGGAAGCTTCTTTTCCCATCTGATGGTCATTGTCAGTCAAGGAAACCTCCGCCCACGACAGCGCCCCTAAATCCTTCTTTGGTATTACCCTCCATGTTCTAGTTTCCTCATCTATAAAGGGGATGATCCTTTCCACTTCGTAGGGTTACCATGATGATTAAAGGCGCTAACACGTCACAAAAGCGTTAAAAAATGTTTGGGTGGTAGTAAGCCCTGTTTAAATCTTATTTAGTGTTAGCATTCTTCCGGTAGTGGTCTGGTGGGAGATTACGTTTACCTGGTCCTAATTTCGAAGGTGGTTTCCACCTGCTTTCTAACCTCCAGCCATTTTTTTTTTTTTTGGAGAAGGGGTCTCATTGTGCTGCCCAGGCTGATCTCGACCTCCTGGCGTCCTGTGATCCTCCCACCTCGGCCTCCCAGCGTGTTGGCCTTATAGGCGTGAGGCACCAAGCCCAGCTGCTCCAGTCCTTTTATAATAGAAGACTCCCGGCTGGAGTTCCTGGCTTTGCTGGTGAATATGTGGCCTCTGGCTCCAACCATCACCCCAAGATTGGGGTCCATGGTCACACAAGACTGGAATGCTCTCCTCCACCCCATGAACCTCTTGTCTTCATATGTATAAAATGGGCACAGAGCCAGGTGCGGTGGCTGACTCCTGTAATCCCAGCACTTTGGGAGGCCCAGGCGGGTAGATCATTTGAGGTCAGGAGTTCGAGACCAGCCTGGCCAACATGGTGAAACCCTGTTTCTACTGAAAATACAAAAATTATCCGGGTGGCAGTGGCGCGTAATCCCAGCTACTCGGGAGGTTGTGGCAGGAGAATCACTTGAACCTGAGCGAGAGTGGGACCCTGTCTCAAAAATAAATAAATAAATAAAACGGACACAGTCATTCCAACGCCCAGCTGTTCACTGATAATCAGACGTTGCCATTCGGTTTCAGAAAATGTTGAATGAACACTCACAACACACCACACATTTATCTGTCAGAGGTAAAACTCTTTAATCTCAGAGAGCCCTTCCCAACTGCCAATCCCCCAACCCCTCACTCTCTCCCCTACACCAGGGCCGGAGAGTGAGGGCCCCTGCCCCCCACCTTGGGTGGACGAGGGCCCTTTAAGGCACCTGTGGAGGTGGGGGGCGAGGGACGGGAGCTGGTACCATCCTGGATGCAGGGACGGGCTTCGATTGGCAGGCTGTTGTGGGGATGGATGGAACCAATGAAAGGGGGTGCCAGAGGCAACGACCCCAGCCCCCGTAGTGTAAAGAATGTAAATTGAAGGCCCCAGGCCAATTCTGGGAACAGGAGGGCTTGGCCACGCCCCCACAGGAAGCTGGAGCCAATCAGGAGGGAGAACTCAGGAAAAGCGGACGATGACTATGCGGAGACTGGTCAAGCCCTTTAAAGGATTCGAGCCAATCAAAAATAAGATCTGCCCAGCGACTAGGGGATGGAGCCAATGACGTGCGAACAAAGCCCTTGTCGCTAGGCGAAAAACAACGGAATTGACCCATTTAGAGCTTAGAACTGAGCGAGCCAATCCCTTAATAGAAGAAATCTGTCGCTAGGCGGAGAGAGGCGACAGACCCAATCGGGAAACGGGACAGATCCCGCTCCTCGGCGCGGGAGGTCATGGGCTGGAAGGGCGACGTGGATTGGCAGAGGCGGCTCAATCCTGGGAACGGTAGACGCAAAGAGGCGGGTCCCGGATCGGCCTCAGATTGGCGGGCCCCAGGAGTGGGGCGGGGGCGTAGTGTGGGACGGGGCGGATGAGGCCCGGGACGCTCCCTCCCTGGGCCTCAGTATTTCCGCTTCAGCTTCTGGAAGTCGCTGGTGTTAAGCCGCGGCCGTGGCAGGTCCCCGAAGACCTGGGTGTCCTCGGCCTCTCTCAGCACCAGCGCGCGCATGCTTGCCGCGATACGGTCCAGGTCGGGCGAAGAGGGCTGCGGGGCGGGGGTGGGGGGACGACGACGGGGCGAGGTCAGCGCCGGCAGGGCACGCCCCCTGCACCCACACGCAGCCCAGGGGTGCACCCTGGCTCCAAGCCCACTCCTAGCACGTCCCCGCCCTGCCAGTTGTGCCCTGCGATGCCCACTGCCAGCAATGCCCTTCCCATCTTGCTCCGCGTAGGAACCGTTCTACCCGGTTCAGACACCTCCTCCACGAAGCCTTCCTGCCCTTCTCCCTCCCCTTCTTGGCCTGGGACATTGCTTCCTACACCTGGAAATGCTGTTGTCTGCTATCTATTAAGGCTGCGTGCACCCTCTCAAGTCTGAGGATCTGGGCTGGGATTTCAGTCATGTTCCAATCAGACCTCTACTGCTGACTAGCTGTGAGCAAGAGGTTTTGCTTCCCTAGGCCTCAGTATCCCCTTCTGAAAAACGGGAGCGGATAACAGGGTCTCTGTGAGGACTGAGATAATCAGCTGTTACTGCTTTATCATGTGGCCACTGCGCTACAGAGAAGATCCCTCCCTGTGTCAGCCCCCACCAAGGAGCGGTCCTGTCATTCTGCCTGCAGCTCCGGCACCTAGTACTGCCTCTACTACAGCCCCCGTCACCCTGAGCTGGGCCTGTCCCCTCGCAGGATGGGACCCGGAGACCCAGATCAGGAACTGGATCTGAGCCCAGTGGGAGACCAGCTCCTGGGCACAGCACTCTGGAGGCCAGAGCGTTCAATTAACTGTGTTGCCATGAGTCGCCAGCACAGACATCAGCAGCAGGAGGACCCTGGCTGCACCAGGCCCTGTTTCTGGTCTTCGGCGCTCACTGCCTCATTGAGGGAAGATGCACAGAAGAGGTCACCACTGTGACTGCTGGTTTGCACATGAGGACACTGAGGCCTGAGGGGGAACTGTGGGGACCCAGGCCTCCTCCCTCAAAGCCCACAGCTCCTTCCTGAAACGCAGCTGGGTTCCAGTCCCAGCTCTGCCTCTCAGGGAAGTCACATGTCCCCTCTGCCTCAGTTTCCCCTCTGCTTCAGGAAGGCTCAGTGAAGGCCAGCCCAGCCCAGGAGCTTCAAACAGGGGTCACTACAAGGGATGAACAGGAGACCAGGGGGTAGGACAAATTCTGCAAAGGGCCAAGAATGTGCGGGGTGGGGATGGGAGGTGACCTAAACCCTCCAAGCCTCAGTTTCCCCACTGGAGGGCATGCCAGAATACCTGTGCCTTGCCCAGAGCAGGTGTTCTATAGAGGTGCTCCTGGAAAGGAGAGGCCTTCTCTATAAGGCACTAGGACACATGGTAAGGCTGCAATTGTTAAAACTGCAAGGCTCAGGTCCAAGAACTCGCCTCTTGAGGTTGAGGGGAGGATTCAGTTAGCTTATGAGTGGAAAGTGGCATCCACGCCGGAGGGCTTCCTGGAGGAGGCGGCTCGGAGCCCTTCCAGCTGCCCTCCCTACCTCCCCACATTTGCCCCTCACCGGCCCATTCTCCTCATCTGATGACCGCGCCTCTGTCCTCTTCTCCTTGAAGCCCCAGACGGGCACAGACACAGGCAGGGACTTGGCGTACTGCTGTGTGGGTAGGGCTGAGGCCGGGGGCACTGAGCAGGTTGCGGGGCCAGCGGGGGTCTCCTCGCTCAGGCTGCCATCTGAAAGAGAGGGTGGATTTCAGCTTCTGTCACTGCCTTTGTGCCAGCCGCCTGCCCCCACGTAGGGAGGGGAACAGCCTGGGACACTCACCGTCTGTACTCTCGGGGTCCGACTCACAGAAGGGAGGAAGGTCCTGGAGGGTGGCGTCCTCATCCATCACGAAGAGCCCTGTGGATGGCGTGAGTTAGAGGCCCGGGCCAGTGAGAGGCCCTAGCCATGCTCCGTGTGCCCTCCTCCTCAGCCACAGCCACCGCCACAGCCACCACCTCCCCCTCCCTGCGGCTTCTGAGACCCCCTTCCTTCACCTCAAAAGCAGCTTCCTCTAGCAGCCTGCCTGGTCATCGGCAGAAACACACTCAGTTTCTATGGATCTGTCACCTTCTCAGCTGCACACAACGGGCTGCTAACGTGAAACCTCTATGATCTGTTTGGCACAATGTGACTCAAAATACAGACTGAGAGAAATATGGGATGACTATGACCTCTGTTTCACAAATGGAGACCTGGAGGCCCAGAGAGGTTAAGTCACTTGCCCGAGGTCCCATGGCTACTAAGGGATACCACCAGGATTTGAACTCAGGATGCCTGCCCTTCACCCTATGCGGGTTTTCTCTAGCAAGGTGAGCAGGCTGGCCATTTGTAATAACAACAAACGAGGACCTCCTAGTTACTGATCAAACTCCTACTAACTCCTCAAAGCCCTAGTGTTACAGCCCAGCCTCCGGGAAGTGCCCAACCCCCAAATTCCCCCCCCCACAACAGTTGCTTGCTCCCTCCCTGGCTTCCTCAGATGTTGGCTGCATCCTGGACAACTCTTTAATTCCTATCGTGGCCTCCCAGGCCTTGTGGAAACAACTCTGGTTCTACCCATGTCCTGCTCCAGAGCCTCCCAACCCCGCACTGGGACTCCAATTCCTTGGCTAGACCGGGAGGCTCTTGAGAAAAAAGCCCGAGCCTGCTGTGTGTCCCTGTGCCCACCACTCCCAGCACAGAGCTGGCTCAGAGCAGGGAAGGGACTGGCTGTAGATCACACAGCAAGCCCCAGGCAAGCCTGTCTGGCTCCGGGGTCCTGAGACTGCACTTGCGTGGAAGTACTCAGGACTAAGCAGGTCACCCCCACAAAGCCTCCTGCAGGCACCTCATCAAGCACTGGGCCGCATCAGCCCCTACCCCTGCCCTCTCACCTCCATTATCACTGACGCCCAGCT